CTTATTCTTTCTCCTGCTGTTTGTCCATCCTGCAGGCTGCCCGGGATCCTCCAGGCGTATCTCTTAGCTATTTTGGAAGCCAAGGGGTTCACCCTCACCCACAGCCCCTTGAGCATCAGTGGGTCTGCCTCAGGACTGGGGTGGCTGCGAGCCCCTCCCCCCGTACGCCTGGGAGTCGCCCATCCGTTCTCCACATGCTCAAACGTCACCAAAGATCCGAACCGGTGGGATCTGCCTGGTAACCCAGCCACAGTGGTGAAGAGGAGGCAGGAGGCCACGTCCGTCCGCGGCTCACGGACCTCTGGCCAGGGCTGCAAATTCCGGAGGACGGAGCAGGTCCCGGGCTGGCACACGTGCTCGGATCAGACGGGGAGGAGGGCGAGCTCCCCCCCGCCGCCCGCTGCGCGGACTGTTCCCGGCACACGGCTCTTTCCTCCACTCGTCTCCCAACCCCAGGAGCTGCCAGCAACTCACGCCTGTCACTCCTGGGAGTACACATCCCCACAGGGCCCTCCCCAACCTCCCACCCAAACCCCGCATCTGCAGATCCCAAGGACACATGGCACCGTGGCTCACAGTTACTTCGCAATGATCCGCCGCAAGCAGAGTCCGACTTCCTTCACACCGCACCCTGGCAAGGGGCCCTGACCCGGGGGGTTTAATACTCGCTTCCTCACTGCCTGGCATGGGGTCCAGCACCCCCCTCCTGAGGCAGGGAGAATGCCCTGATTCTGCCTCACTTCCCCTGGGCGGGGCCGGCACCTCCATAACTGCATGTTGAAACAGCCCGACTTCAGACCCAGGAGGCTCACACGGAGCAGGAGGCACACACGGAGCGGGAGGCTCACACGGAGCGGGAGGCACACACGGAGCGGGAGGCACACACGGAGCGGGAGGCTCACACGGAGCGGGAGGCACACCCGGAGCGGGAGGCACACCCGGAGCGGGAGGCTCACACGGAGCGGGAGGCTCACACGGAGCGGGAGGCTCACACGGAGCGGGAGGCTCACACGGAGCGGGAGGCACACACGGAGCGGGAGGCACACACGGAGCGGGAGGCTCACACGGAGCGGGAGGCACACACGGAGCGGGAGGCACACCCGGAGCGGGAGGCACACCCGGAGCGGGAGGCTCACCCGGAGCGGGAGGCTCACCCGGAGCGGGAGGCTCACACGGAGCGGGAGGCACACACGGAGCGGGAGGCACACACGGAGCGGGAGGCACACCCGGAGCGGGAGGCTCACCCGGAGCGGGAGGCTCACCCGGAGCGGGAGGCACACCCGGAGCGGGAGGCACACACAGATCTCCGTGCACACTGCAGAAGGGGCGGGAGGCTCACACAGATCTCCGTGCACGCTGCAGAAGGGGCTGCCACCTCACCTAGGCCCGTGCCCTCGAGGTCTGACTCAATTCAAAGGAATCTCATCTGCCTTCCTTCCCTTCCTGGGCACATGTCGGGAACAACAGAGCCATTTTGGGGTGTTTGTGTGTCTTCGGGGGGGGGGCACGGTCTGGTCCCCGTCGGTGCACGAGGCCGGCTGTGAGCCCTCCTGCAGTGATGTGGCCATGGGCATCGCTGCCCAGGCCAGAGAGGAGAGTTTATTCTCTGGGTCCAGAAACGGGCCCAAGCACCAAGTCCCGCCGGTGGGGTAACGCGGCTCCCTGCCCTGTGGTCCTGCCCCTCACCGGGCTGCGTGGGCTTGCCACGGAGGGCAAAGGACCCATCACACAAAGGAAGCAGGCCGGCCACTCAATCCTCACGGTGCTCTGACCGACAGGCTTCCTGCCTGTCCTCCCTCTCCTGGAGGGACAGGGAGCAGGGACTCCCGGGCCCCGATCACCTCTTACCACCCCTTCATCCTAAACTTCACAACCTCAGTGAATTCCCTGGCAGACCACAGTTCCAATCCTACCAGCTGCCAGAGCTGATGCTCCCCAAAGACCCTCACACAGGCAGACTGAAATCTGGTCCTTAAGCCAATTGCCTCTCGCAGATACCAAGCCATTTATCCGACCTGCATCCGGCCAACAAGAAAGAGCTGGGCAGTCTGCACTCAGGGTCAGCCTGCAGGACTCCCCACCTGCACCGGGCCACTCCCTTCCCCAGACCTCTGGGCCGCAGCTCTGGTGGCACGAACGCACCTGCGGGGCTTTTATTTATTTATTTATTTAAATCCTCATCCAAGAATAATTTCCCATTTATCTTCAGATAGAGTGGGAGGGTGTGAGACAGAGTGAGAGAAACATCTACATCAGAGGGACACATCGACCGGCTGTCTCCCAAACAACCCCGACCAGGGCTGGGGACGAATCGCAACCAAAGAGCGTGCCCTTGACCGCCATCGAACCCGCGACTCTGGTCCGAGGGCCGACACTCGAACCACTGATCCAAACCAGCCAGGGCACCTGTGGGGCTTTTAAAACGACAAAGGCCGAGGGCTGAGCCAGACTGTCTGTAGCCGCAAACACACCAGTCCTGAGTGATCTTTAAAGGACCCTGGGCAGTTCTCTCTCCCCAGAGTGGGGAGTCGAGGAAGTGGACACCCTGAGCCACTTAAAGGGGTAGTGCCCAGGGAAGGCGCTGCTTCCCTGCGAGGTTTACTCCACGCCATGCAGGGCCTGCAGTGGGGTGTCTCGGCTCCGTATCCCGGGCCGACGGAGCACACAAGGGCTGAATGTGGAATAAGACGGGACAGCCGGGCTCAAATTGCATCCTCGTAAAATTCATGTCTGACCAGACCTGTGAATGAGACCTTATTTGGAAATAGGGTCTTTGCAGATGTGATCAAGTTAAGATGAGGTCATGCTGGATGTGGGTGGGCCCTAAACCCAAGGACTGGTGTCCTTAAAGGAAGAGGGGAATGTGGACACAGACGCACACAGGGAAGGTCACGTGGAGACGGAGCAGAGACCGGAGTGATGTGTCTACCAGCCCAGGACCGCCAAGGATGCCGGAGCCCCAGACGCGGGAGAGAGGCCTGGCACGGGTCCTCCTCAGAGTCTCCAGAAGGAGCCAGCCCTGCCCGCACCTAAACCGTGAGAGAATCAGTGGTTTTGAGCCCCCCAGTGCGTGGCAGCTTGTCCCAGCACCCCAGGAACCTCGTGCACTGGGCTCTGCTGTACCACTCTGGCATCTGCAGGCCCACTGCCTCGGAGCCGGGATAGCGTTCAGAGTTCTAGCTGCACGATGACTTTGATGCAATGATTTGGACACAATGCCAGGGGTGTGGGCGGAGGCCAGAGGCATACACAGAGCAAGGTCTCCAGATTCCAGGCATCCTGAAGCTCCCTGACCCTGACCCCTGGCTGACCCTGATCCAAACCCCGAGCAGAAACAGCCCCAGCCCCAGCTGACACTGGGCAAGCACCAAGTGGTCGGTGAAGCTGAGGAGTGGTCCCAAGGCCCAACCTCTTCCCACTCAGCACTGTGAGCCAAGCCCAGGAGTCTCAGGAGCCATGATGCCTTCTGGGCCTCAGGCTGATTCTGCCCCGCCACTCTCTGGTTGGAAGCGTGCCTTCTCTCTCAGCAGAGGGGCCTCGACAGGCCTGGGCTCCTAGGGGACCCCCGTGGGAAGGCTGACTGGCTTCTCCATTAGGAGGAACCTCTCCTTCTCTTTCAAATCACGCCGAGCTCCACACAGACCTTACTTCTCCCAACCCGGGTTTTGCAGAGACTGGTCCTCAAGCACGCCCCACGCCCAGGGGGCCTGACCCGAGTGATGCTCACAGGTAGGAGCATCTGAAGACCTGGCAGGTTGGGCAGCGGAGGCAGCTCAGAGAGCCAGCTGGGGTGTAGCGGGGGGCCATGGCAGTGTGGGGGGCCCAGGGGGCACGGCTGACAACCCAGACAAGCCCAGCTTGGAGGCTGAGCAGGTGGGGGCCGCCCAGCTTCATCACATCTGGCCTGGAAACAGGACGCTCGGTTGGCTGAGACGCAGCAGCAGAAAATACACCTGTTGAGAAGTCAGAGGGAGCTACACAGGCCCACCTGTAGTGCATCTGTCCTGGGTCAACTGAACTGGCCGCAGGACACCCTGGCTGACCTTCACCAGGGCTGCTGAGGCCTGCAAGCGCCAGACCTGGACAGAAACCTCCGGGACCCGGCGAGAGCCAGCCACTCCTGCTGCCCCTCCGCAGACCAGAACCAGTAACTGGGCTCTTCCTGCCTCCTTCGCTCCCACCTTTGAAGGGCAAGGAGTCCCGAGGGTAACATTCTGAAACCCTAGGCAGCCACACCAGCCCTGCCCCCTCGTCACCAAAGTCTCTAGCTTTTTTGTGTGTGTGTGGACATCCTGAAAAAGCCTCGCAAGCAGCAAGCCCCTTAAGGACCCTCTCTCCTGCCCAGCCCCCGGGGCCAACGCCTCCTGGGCAGAATACTGAGCAGAGAACCTGGGACTCTTCAGGCCCTTCTGAGCAGACCCTCGGAGCCGAGCCTCCCCAGGGGAGGGAGGCGTCCCTGTGCCCCCTCCTTAATCCAGCGAGCCCCTAAATGCGGCGGGTGGGAGAGGCCTAGACCGAAAGCCGTTCCCCACCCAGTCCCGAGCTCAGAGAAGCCCAGCTGCCATCTTACATGTGAAAGTTTCTTCCCGGGGTCCCCAGTCCTCCAGCCGCCGAGGCCAAGGCTCCCCTTCGCTCTCACGCGCCGTGTCCCCCACTCTCCCCGCCCCCGCGTTGGCATCCCAGGGCCCTCCGCCTGCCAAAACCCACTCCGGTCCCTGGCTCCCTTCGCTGGGGCTGGAGCGGCAGCGGAATTTCGGTGGAATTTTGAGGTTGGGAAGCATCTCGGCGGAGAGAGAAAGAAAGAGAGTGGAGGAAGGGGGGGAAAAGTGCGATTTTGGCGTCAACTTGCAGGATTCGAGAAGGCGCTCGGGGCCGGGAGGCGGGCGCTGGGTCCCCTCTGCACGGCGCGGGCGGGCGGGGCGCCTGCGAACCCTCGGGGGGTCCCGCGCGCCCCGCGGCGGCGGGGGGCACCCACAGGGCCGGGCGGCGGTCGTCCTTACCTACATCTGCATTGCAAAATGCCTGTTGCGGGTGCACCGGGGAGCAGCTGCAGGCGTCGGCCCGGCGGAGCAGCGTCCCCAGGAGCAGGAGGCCGAGCGCGAGCCGCAGGCTGCGGGCCGCGGCGCCCATGGCGGGCGGGGGGCGCGGGCCGGGGGCGCGGGCTCGGGGCTCGGCCGCCGCCGCCTGGGCTCGGGGCTCTCCCTCCGGGCGGGCTGGGGCGCGCGGTCTCGCTGCGCTCCCGGGCGCGCCCTCCGCACCCGGCCCGCACTCGCCCGCACAAACTTTCTCGGGCCTGCGTCCCCGGGGCGGCGGGGACGGCGGGGAGCGGCTGGCGCGCGGAGGAGAAGGCGGTGGGGGCGGGAGGCGAGCGCGGCCGCGGCTCCACTGCCTTCTCGGGCCGTGTGCGCTGCGGGCTCAGCCCGAGCCGGCCCTTTATAGCGCTCGCGCGCGTCGGGCTCGGCCCGCGGCCAATGGGGCGCCGCGGCTCCGGAGGCCCCGCCCCGCGCCTGCCGGGCCCTCCCCCTATCCCGGCTTTGTTGTGCCCAGCGTGGGGCTCGCGCTGCGCACCTGGCTCCCCGCCGCGCCGGGCCGCGCCCAGTAGCCTCCCAAATCGCCGGCGCTTGGGGCGGGGGGCGACGCGCGGCCAACAGCGCCCAGTGGGCCCTGGCGCCGCGCTTGGGACTCGCAGCCCGCTCCCCAGGGCACCGGGGGCCCACCACCACCCCTTCCCCTGCCCCTCCAGCTCGGCCTGGGAGGTGTCCGCCGCCGCCTTCCCTGCCAACCCTGGGGTCCCGTGGATTCCAGCCGGGGCCGGGGCGAAAGGGTGTGTGCTCCGCGCGAGGGTCGTTCCCCGCGGCCCCGCCCCGTGGCCCCTGGGGGTGGCGGCCTCCTGAAACTACTAGGATCCCGTTCTCCCCTGGAGGCCTTGGGGTTCCAAGTGCGCGTAGTCCGTTCAGCTGGAAAGGGAGGGGGAGTGGTTACTAGGAACAAAACAGGATTTTATATCAACTGGCCATATTTTTGACCAGCCAGCAAGAGCCAGGAGGTGGGCCCAGGAGCCCCGGAGGCTGCAGGATTGGATGAAGGCCTTTGCTGGGCTCGGCGCTCGGTTCTCCCCCTGATCCCTCAATGCGGGCGCTGGAGGACTCTTCCCAAAACACCTCTGGGTTCCAGAAAGGGCGGAGGATCTTCGAGGGGTGGAGGCAAGCGAAGTAGGGTGAAGTATGACCCCCGGGAACTCTGCCTGTCACCGAGCCTGCCCTGAGCCCCTCCTGCGGGCAGGACGGTTATCATCAGCTGGGGCCCGGCAAAGGGGGGGAAAGGACCCAATTCGAGAAGAATCCCCCGCTGAACTGTGTGGCTGACTTGAGATGGGAAACTGAAGAATATTGAACGCAGAAGGCCGTTCCCTTCTGTTTCTGTGTGCTTTCGGACAGACAACTTGCAGAAGAGATAACTCGGCGCCCTGACAAACTCAAAGTCACTGTTTTGGCTTTTGTGCATATAAAATAGTGTCACATGCTCTCTGCTCCGGACCGAGAGGGTGCAACGAGGCAGGAAGGATCCAGGGGAAAGGTTGTAGCTCTGACCTTGGCCCCAAGGAGGGAGGACGGGGTCAGGTTGCCTTACGTCCAAGCAAGAGAGGGAAGGAGGAAGGAGGACCCGGAGCTGGTAGCTCCGACGGTCACCTTCTCTCCTAACCAGCCTCCTCTCCCTTAACACTGGTGATGGGCTAAGAGGAGAGCCATACAGGAGACCCCACCCCGCGTGCATTCTGAGGACAGCCCGCTGGACCTGGCCTGGTATCTGAGGCTCCTAGTAGGAGAGAAAGGAGGGGCCAGTGCCTTCCAGGCCAGCTGGGGAGGGGGCTTCTAGGACCCTCAGACCACACTCTCGGGGTGACCATTTCCCACCAGGAACGCCCACCTAGCCCCTGCCCCCAACGAAGAGACTTTCCCAGTAGAGTCCAGCAGGGCTGTCCGCTGCCCAACCCTGTCTGCATACACCCAGCAAACTTGTCCCGGGCTTGGCTTGGGGGAGTCAACATCGTCCAGGGCCCGGAGGAAGTCCCAACGCCTCCTCCTGTCCTTCTCGGGTAAACGGAGTCAGAATGCCCTCACAGGCCACGGCAGGAGGCCCTGCCATATCCAGACTGTCCACGGAGCTCAAGGGGACACATTGGAAGCGCCTCTTCCCAGGAGACTCACTCTCCTAGATTGGGGGAACTCCATGTCCTCCTGAGTCTGGAGTTTTCTCTCCCTTGGAAGCGCCTCTTCCCAGGAGACTCACTCTCCTAGATTGGGGGAACTCCATGTCCTCCTGAGTCTGGAGTTTTCTCTCCCTAGAGACAGCTGGAGGGGAGTTGAGGTCCCCACACTCCTTCCAGCAGGTTCCAGAGAGCCAGACGCTCTAGGGCGCATGGACGTGAAAACGGCCCCACCCACCCAGGAAGCTGAACTGGAGAGAGTGGGCATGTCTCGGACAGGTCGGAGGGCAGCAGGGAGAGAGGGTGGCTGTGTGTGGGGCCCAAGTGCCTGGCTGTCCCCAGGTGTCTGTGTGTCTTGATGCGTGGTCCTCAGGGAGGAATTGACAGCTGGCTTCAAGGTCACGACGGGCCCCATCCACTTTGGGCATCAGACTCATGGCCACAGCAGTCAGGTGGTGCCACCCAGCGCAGATGTCTGTCCCCAACATTCCCCGGTGGGACTGCTTACTATAGGACATCCTGAAGGTGACAAGGAGGCAGGAATAACCGAGCCATCTGTGGCACGAAGGTGGGCCACCGTTCACTGCACAGTCCACATGGCGTCTTTGTGATCAGCAGTGATACTGTGAAGTGTTGCTTTTTGTATGTTTTTTCTTCATTTTTAGAGAGGAAGGGAGAGGGAGAGAGAGAGAGAAACATCGATGAGAGAGAACATCGATAGGCCGCCTCCTACATGCCCCCCCACTGGGGATTTGGCTCACACCCTGGGCATGTGCCCTGACCGGGAATTGAACCGGTGACCTCTTGGTACATGAGTCAATGCTCAACCACTGAGCCACACCGGCCGGGCTGACGTGCGTTTTGATTTTCATTTCTTTGCATTAATTTTATGATGAGTCCTCACCGGCCAGGAGCCGTGTCAGCCTTGGCACTGCTAACCTCTGGGCCGGATCACTCTCTGGGGGGGACATCCTGTGCCCTGCGGGGTGTTGAGCAACATCTCTGGCCTCCACCCTCCAGATGCCGATAGCACCCCATCCCGAGTTGTGACAACTCAACATATGTCCAGACATTGCTCAATGCCCACCAGAGGGTGGGGGGAGGGAGGCGAAACCTCCCTGGCTGACAAGCCCTGCGAGATGAACATCTCTGGTCACGAGAAAAACAAAAATGCAGAGACATGCGCATCAGCGTGTGTCCCGGACACACCTGCACGCACCCGTCTGTCCACACTGCTTCTCAGGGGAGAGAGGGAAGGCCAGGAATGCTAAAAAGGTTGTTTTGAAAAAGTGTCCCTCAGTAAACAGCAGGCAGAATGTTGCATTTGTGGGAGATTAAACATGCACGCATCTGGACAGCTCTGTAAAAAGGTGTCGGGAACCCAGGGGACAGGGCAGAGGTCACGTCCTGCTCCTTGTTCAGAAGCGGGTGCAGTCGTGAACCGGACGGCTCCCGGGCCAGAACGAGGGGGTTCCTCCGCACGTTCTGGAGCACTGGTGACAGAGGCTCCCCCGCCCGGCATTCACTCTGCGACGCCCCCTCCCTCACCTGCACTGCTTTGGGCTACCTGCCCGGTGGGGTTTCTGTTGCTTCGAGGACCTTTTATGCCATCCCACAGGGCATCTTTAAGAAGCTGGGGCTTGGCCTGTCTCCTCACTCTCTCCCTAGCACCTGTCCCTTCTCCCTCCCTCTCCTCCCAGGCAGGCTCCCCTCTGGGCCGAGGCGGCCTAGAGCAGGGCCCCAACTTGCAAACCTGTCTGGCTAACCAACCCCGGCTCCCAGCTACGCAGAGCAGAGCGGGTCCAGGCGGCGGTCCCGACACCAGCCACGCTGTCCTGACGCAGTCCGGAGTGAGTCCAGCAGGAAGGGAGGGAGACAGGCTGTCCTGGGGGTCAACAGGAAGCCCATGAAGTCATTGGCTTGAAGAGAAGGCCGCATCTGAGCCCAGCCAGGACTGAAAGTACCTAAACACCTTTTCCGGGGAGGTGGCTCGGTGCAGGGATGCCCATGCCATGTTGGTCCCAGATGGGCGCTGCCTTTCCTTCCCGTGACAAAGAGGTCCTGCCCTGCATGCCTTCCTTCCCGGAGGGCCCACGATGCCCAGGGGGCACACACCTGAGCTCTGCCTCCCTCTCCCACCTCCCACCCCCACCTGTCCACCTCCCACATCTCCCGTGCCCGGCTCGCCCTCCGTCCTCCTCTAGGCTTCGTGCCTGTTCAAAACAAAGGCAGGAGAGACCCGGGCGGGGGCTCCTGCAGGCCTGCTGCCATGCATGTTCTCATGCCCAGCCTATTTCCTCTTGGCCCCGGGCATGTGGTCATGTGCTTCCCTCGTGGGCGGGTCGGGAGCGGAGATGGGAACCCAGAGCTCCTCCATCCCGGCTTCTAGGAAGCAGCCTCGGCTGGCCTTCTGCGGACCAGGGCCTGGCCAGGGCCGAGGGGCCGGCCGCCTGGGGGACCGCTGCCCAGCTCGGCAGGGCTTTGTTGAGGCGGAGTTTATGGGGTCTCAGCTTCCTCTCCCTGGAAGCCCAGAGGCAAGGGGCTCGGGCTCCCCCTGCCCACCGGTCTCCTCTTCCTCTGGTGTTGGGAGTGCCGGCCGTGGCCATGATGTCATCGCCTAACCCAAACAGAAGGGGGCTGGTTGGGCGGCTCTGGCTGGCGTCCCATGCTGAGGGCAGCAGTAAATTTCATTTCAAGGCTATGATTAGGACTGTACCCAAGAATGTCCTCTCCCCTTCCCTCTCCCCAGTTCTAGTCTCTTTTCTCTGTTTCTGCCTGGTCTGCTTTCCCCCTCCCTCTCTCTCCCGGTTCTTTCTTCTCTGGTATGCTCAGATACCCGTGAGGTCAGCCCCGGGGTCAGCCCCAGGCTCCTCTCAGCCCCTCCAGGTTCCTGTCCCTCAGATGCCCCCTCACCCCGGCCCCGAGCCCAGCGAGGGAGCAGAAAGGCCCCGGCCCCTGCCCAGTGCTGCGTGGGGAGAGGGTGAGCGAGCGGAGTTCCCAAAGGCCCCCGTTCATCCGTGAGCGAAGTACCCGCCTACAGCAGGGGCGCGGTTGGGGTGACTCTGGTCGCCCACAAAGCGACCAGAAGGCAGCAGGGCCGTGAGAAAGGCAATGACAACCCTA